GACTACGCCGCTAGCCTTGTTGCTGAGTCTGAGTCTGTCTGTCCTCCGTCCGTCGGGGGTGAGTGTGCTCTTGGCACGGACGTCCTTGAGGACAGACAGGAGGAGTTCCAGTGCTTTGCTGCTGCTTTGCCCCACCTCGTGTCCATGCTAGTTGCCCCTGAGGGAGACCCGGATGCACCAGACATCCCGACCCCGCGCACTTACGCTGAGGCGATGGCGGGTCCCTACTCCTCTCAGTGGCAGACAGCCATGGACGCAGAGATGGCTTCCTGGAAGTCCACAGGCACCTACGTCGACGAGGTTCCCCCACCTGGGGCGAACATCGTCAGTGGCATGTGGATTTTCAGGGTGAAGCGGCCACCGGGTTCTCCTCCTGTCTTCAAGGCGCGCTACGTGGCTCGAGGCTTCAGTCAGCGAGAGGGAGTCGACTTCTTCCAGACCTTCTCCCCCACCCCGAAGATGACCACTCTTCGGGTGCTGCTGCACATAGCCGCTCAGCGCGACTACGAGCTTCACTCACTTGACTTCAGCACTGCTTTCTTGCAGGGCAGCCTGCACGAGGAGATCTGGCTGCGCCGCCCTCCTGGCTTCACTGGGTCGGTTCCTCCTGGTACCCAGTGGAGGCTCCAGCGGCCAGTCTACGGTCTCCGCCAGGCACCGCGTGAGTGGCACGACACACTGAGGACGACACTTGCGGCTCTTGGGTTCGCTCCCTCTACTGCTGACCCGTCACTGTTTCTACGCACAGACACCTCACTCCCGCCGTTCTACATCCTCGTGTACGTCGACGACTTGGTCTTTGCCACTGCTGACACCGCGGCACTCGCCCACGTGAAGTCGGAGCTGCAGAGGAGACACACGTGCACAGACCTGGATGAACTGACAAGCTATCTTGGCTTGCGGATCACCCGGGACAGAGCACGGTGCACCATCACCTTGACTCAGTCACACATGGTGCAGCAGATCCTTCAGCGCTTCCGCTTCACGTACTCCTCGCCTCAGTCCACTCCTCTTCCTACCGGTCACTCGCTCTCAGCTCTGCCTTTGGATGAGTCCGTAGAGCCGAGTGGCCCGTATCCAGAGCTTGTGGGCTGCCTCATGTACCTGATGACCTGCACTCGACCTGACCTTGCATACCCTTTTAGCATCCTTGCACGCTATGTCGCTCCTGGCCGTCACAGGAAGGAGCACATGGATGCCGCTAAGAGGGTGTTGCGCTACTTGTGCAGTACGTCGGGCATGGGGCTGGTGCTTGGAGGGCGAGACCGAGTTGTACTTACTGGACACTCAGACGCTTCTTGGGCGGACGACCAGGCTACTCAGCGGTCGTCTCAGGGTTACACCTTCAGCCTTGGCTCTGGCTCAGTTTCTTGGCGTTCTACACGCTCTTCTTCTGTTCTCAGCTCCAGTTGTGAGGCTGAGATCTACGCCACAGCCATGGCTGCTGGAGCTGGAGGTGCTGGCATTGCTGGCGCTGACGGACCCAGAGGTACTCGAGCTGGAGACCCTGGAGCTGGAGACCCTGGAGCTGGAGACCCTGGAGCTGGAGGTGCCGGTTCTGGGGGTGCTGCTGCTGGAGGTACTGGAGCTGGAGACCCTGGAGCTAGACGTTCCGGTTCTTGGGGTGCTGCTGCTGGAGGTACTGGGGCTGGAGGCCCTGGAGCTGGTGCTGTCGACTCTGGAGTTGGAGACCCTGGAGCTGGAGGTGCCGGTTCTGGGGGTGCTGCTGCTAGAGGCACTGGAGCTGGAGGCCTTGGAGCAGGTGTTGTCGACCCTGGAGTTGCTGGAGCTACTGGCACTGGTGGCACTGCACAGCTGCGACTGTTCTTCGCTCCGTCGTCACCGTCGTCTCTACCACTGCCTGACTCGGTGCTTCACCAGGTTCTTAGCCTCCCGTCTTCTACTGGCCTCCCGTTACAGCCAGGCTCACCACTGCCTGCTCCTTCTCCTTACACTGAGCAGACAGACTCGCTTACAGAGCGTCGTGAGCCTGCGTCTCGTCCTGCCTTGCCTGCTCGCACTCGTCGCACTGGTCGTCGTGTTCCTCGTGAGCGTCCGCCTCCTGTCCCCGGCACGCACACTATGGCACTTCGTCCTTCCTCTGTTCCACAGCGTGTTCCCCTGCCGTCTCCTCCTGCGTCTTCTCTGCCTGACGTTCCGGACCCTGAGTCTGACCTGTTTCGTGCTGCTCACCCTACTGTCACGCGTTTGTTAGCCACTGTTGTCACTGACCCGTCGTTTGAGTCTGCTGCTGCGTCTGCCTTAGTCTCTGAGCTTGTTGACTTTGCTGCTGCTTGTCGTCTCGACTACGCTGCTAGTCTTATTGCTGAGTCTGAGTCTGTCTGTCCTCTGTCCGTCGGGGGTGAGTGTGCCCTTGGCACGGACGTCCTTGAGGACAGACAGTTTGAGCTCGAGTGTCTTGCGGCTGCTGTACCTCATCTCACTACCATGGTGCTTGCACCTGAAAAAGACCCGGATGCACTAGACATCCCGACTCCGCGCTCTTACGCAGAGGCGATCACGGGTCAGTACTCCTCTTAGTGGCAGACAACCATGGACGCAGAGATGGCATCCTGGAAGTCCACAGGCACTTACATCGACGCAGTTCCCCCACCTGAGGCGAACATAGTCGATGGCATGTGGATTTTCAGGGTGAAGCGGCCGCCGGGTTCTCCGCCTGTCTTCAAGGCGCGTTACGTTGCACGAGGCTTCAGTCAGCGACAGGGGGTCGACTTCTTCTTGACCTTCTCCCCCACCCCGACGATGACCACTCTTTGGGTGTTACTACACCTTGCAGCACAGAGTGACTACGAGCTCCACTCGCTTGACTTTAGCACTCTCTTGCAGGGCAGCCTATACGAGGAGATCTGGTTACGCTGCCCACCTGGCTTCATTGGGTCGTTTCCTCCTGGTACCCAGTGGAGCCTCCAGCGGCCAGTCTACGGTCTCCGCCATGCGCCCCGCGAGTGGCACGACACACTGAGGACGACGCTTGCAGCTCTTGGGTTTGCTCCTTCGACTGCTAACCCGTCACTGTTTCTACGCACCGACACTTCGCTACCGCCGTTCTACATCCTCGTGTACATTGACGACTTGGTCTTTGTTGCTGCTGACACTGAGGCACTGGCCCTTGTGAAGTTGGAGCTGCAGAAGAGACACACCTGCACTGACCTTGGTGAGCTACGCAACTATCTTAACTTGCAGATCACTCAGGACAGAGCATGGCGCACCATCACCCTGACTCAGTCACACATGGTGCACTTGGTTCTTTAGCGCTTCGGCTTCCAGTTCTCTTGCTTTACTGGTCTTGTGACCGTTGGTTGTTCTTGTTATCCCCCACTTTGCCTATGGGGGTGTGTTAAATGTCAGATTTCAGAAACCGAATGATGATTGACTATTGTGGGTTGGGGTACATAAACCTTACCCTAGCTGCTGTACCCCATATCACACGCATCACTGAAGGCTACAACATTTGACACAGCACCATAGACTAAGTGAGGGGTGTCATGCAAAACTAGAACCGTACAGTCAAAAGACCAGTCACAAAGAAATAAAGCTCAAGGTGGATCACAATGTCACCACACATTCCGAGCACAAGCAAAAGGCCACAAGGCCACTCCAGGAGTTCACAGAGGTATATGCAAAGTGTACAAATAAAGCAAGCAGAGAACTCAAGTCTACACAAGACGAGAACCTGTGTCAACGAGACCAGACTGCACACAACACCTGTGGTGGTCACAAGGTCGGTGAGCAAGAAGGTCAACCAACGCAGCTCCTGTGCAGCCATGGCTCTAGCGTAGATCTCAGCCTCAGCGGTAGAGGTCGAGACCGAGGAGGAACGCGTGGACCTCCACGAAACAACTCCATAGCCTAGGCTGAAGCAGTACCCCTGAGTAGACCTGTGAGTCTCGATCGTTAGCGTAAGAAGAGTCACAGTGACCAGTAAGTACGACAAACTGTCTCCCTACAAGTACCAGCCGCATGCCTGATGTCGTCGCTAGGTACTTCGCCACCCTCACAGCAGCTGTCCAGCAAACTGGACGGTGTCTCCTTGGCGCAACAAAGCGCGCAAGGATGCTGAGAGGGAAGGCGAGGTCCGGGCGAGTACAAGTCATCAGGTACATGAGGCAGCCCACAAGCTCTGCGTAGGGACCACTCGGCTCAAACAGCTCGTCACGAAAGGGTCCAGTGAGTCTGTGGTCAATGGCAAGAAGTGTGCGCTTTACTGTGGAGTGCTGAAGCTCGAACTGCTGAAGGACCTGCTGCACCATGTGTGACTGTGAGAGTGTAATGGTGCGAGCGGCTCTGTCCCTGGTGATCTGCAGGCCAAGGTAGTGGCGCAGCTCACCAAGGTCACTTCACGTGTCTCTTCTGCAGTTCGCACTTCACGTCAGCCAAAGCAACCCTGTTAGCAGTTGCGAAGACCAGGTTGTTGACGTAGATCAGTACAAAGAACGGTGTAGAGCCACGACGAACAAACAGCATGGTTCGCCAAAAGACGGCTGGAAACCGAGGTCATACTGGGTAGAGCGAAGGGTGTCGTGCCACTCACGAGGCGCCTAACGGAGGCCGTAAGCTGGTCGCCTCAGCCTCCACTTGGTCTAGCAGGGAAAGTGCTAGTGAAGGCAGAGGGACGACGCAACCAGACCTCCTCGTGTAGGCTACCCTGAAGGAAGGCAGTGGAGAAGTCGAGAGAGTGTAACTCGTAGTCTCTCTGTGCTGCTACGTGCAGTAACACCCGAAGAGTGGTCATCTTCGGGGTAGGCGCGAAGGTCTGAAAGAAGTCAACTTCCTCGCGCTGACTTCTAGCCTCATAGCGCGCCTTGAAGACCGGAGGAGATCCCGTCCCCCTGAAGACCTACATGCCATCGACTACATTCGCCCTAAACGGTAGTAGAGAGGGATGTAGTGAGGGCCGACCCAGGAGGAGAAGGAAGCACAGTCGGAGACGGAACAGGACAGTACGAAGGTTAGTGACAGGGACAGGGGACGAGGGACGATCACGAGGAGAGCGAGAAGCCCAAGTGTGAGAAAGAAAAAAGAGGGGACAACGGAGGCTGAGAACGGGGGAAAACAGCTGGGGTGGGGTCAGGAGGAGGAACCGTGGACTGTAGACAGGAGGAAAGGGGGAAGAAGGAGGAGAGGGACAGGGGAGACCGAGGGTCCGAAGGCCAGAGACAGGAGGCGGAGGTGGCAGCTGCTGGTGCTCCTGCTGCGGCGGCGGCTGCTGCTGCTGCTGCTGCTGCGGGGCCTCCTGCAGCGGCTATTGCTGCTATTGCTGCTGCTGGACCTGCTGCTGCTGCTGCTGCTGCTGCTGCTGCTGTTGTTGCTCCTCCAACTACCGTAGCTCCTGCTGCTGCCACTCCAACTCTAGGTTCACTCTCTCCAACTCCAGCTGCTCCTCACGTGCACGGCGAAGACGGTCCTGGTACCGGGTCAAGTAGGGGTGTGGGGGAGGAGTAGGGTCCGGGAAGGTGGTAGCTCCAGGACCGCCCTCCAAAGCACCAGTCGCACTACCCCCAGAGCCAGCACCACTAGAATCAACATGGTCAGCTCCAGGCTCTCTAGGTCCAGCAAGGTGCTCATCGGCACCCCCAGTTGTAGCACCCACAGGGACAGCTCGACTAACAACAGCTCCCCGAAGACTAGAGTCTCCTGCAGTCACGGGCTCAGCCCCAACTCCAGCACCCCCGACGCAGGACCACGTACAGGTACACTCTCAGCTCCTACGCCAACACCTCTAGAGCTATCACCTCCAGGGTCCTCGATACGAACACCAGCTCCCTCAGGGTCTGCTGTAGGTTGTGAGGAGGACTGTGGGGAAGGGGGCGGCACCTGAGGGGCTACCGAGAGGGGGGGGGGTAGCGTGTGACATACCTGACAAGTCTGGACCAGGGGGAGGGGCTGTATCGGAGGAGTAGGAGGGGGAGCGGGAGTCAGGAAGAGAGGGGGAGGAGGAACCGGGAGACCTCGACAGGGGTACCGGGTGTAGTAGGGGACGGACTCGTCGAAACGGATGTCGCAGGAGTAAAAAAACCCGTGAAGGGGAGGGTGATAACACGTGAAGTCAGAGGAGTCCTCTGGGAAACCAAGGAAGACACAGGGAAGGGCGCGAGGGGAGAGCTTGTCCGCGGAGGTGTCGCGAACAAGCGCCAAGCAGCCCCAGACACGAACACACGATGGAGCACCAAGGGACCCGTTTCAAAGACTGGTCGAACCTCTGGCCAAGAGACGTTTGGCCAGAGGTTCAGCTGGTGAGTGGCGTACCGAACTGCGTAGGGCCACAGAAAATGGGCGACACAGGCGTGAGTTATGGAGGTGCGGACGATCTTCATGACCAAGCCTATGCGGCGCTCAGCAACCCCATTCTGCTGTGGGGATTCTGGAAGCGTCCAGGACTGACGGATGCCCTGCTCGTGATAGAATCGAGCGAGAATGCTAGAGCGAAACTCACCCTCGCGGTCGAAGTGAAGACAGCTAACACGATGACCAGGAGTGTCCGTAGTGGTATGTAACCACCGGTTCAGTGTAGAAGTCACATCACACTTCTTCGCCAGGGGGAACACTGTGGTGTAGCAGGAGTAGTCGTCAACGACAACCAAAAAGAAACTCTCTCTCTCAGGGCCAGGGCGAGAGGTGGGGCCCCAGACGTCCAAGTGGAGAGTCTCGAAGGGCTCGGTGGCTGGACGAAGGGAGGAGGAGTGAGGGGTGGCGCACAGCCGACCCTCGACGCAAGGGCCGCAAGGTGGTGCAGGTGAAGGCAGCAGCGACGGCAAGACCCGTGGGAGGCCTAAGACGAGACGCTGACTAGACATAGTGCACAGGCGAGAAATGGACGGGTGACCAAGGCGATGGTGGTACAGAACGGTGGGGTGGGCAAGCGACTGACACGAGCAAGACGCAGCAACCGGACCAGACGCTGGAACTAAACCAGACACAACTACCTGGTGGGAGGCGGCAACCTGGTGAGTTGCGGGGACCTGACGGGGAGCAGTGACAGGGGTCGGAGGAAGCTGCTACTGCTGCCTCTCTCGGGGGCCAGTGTGAAGAGTGTAGAGACCAGTGCCCAGCTCAGCGTGAAAGGTGATCAGGGGCGCGTATGTGTCACCGTCTATACAGGTCGCAGAGTCCTAGAAGGTTCAATCCAAACACCACGTGACTACCCACGAGCGGATTCACACCCACCAAGTTTTTGGAGAGCGAGGGGTCGTAGAAGCCTGTCACGAAACCTGAGGGAACAGCCGGGCACGGAAGAGTTGTAGTGTAACGAGCATTGATTGGTCCCGAAGTGGGATCAGCCAATGCTACGGAGATCGGCATAGGAAGCGGTAAGAGTCGTGTGTTCGCGGAAGAAACAGTGTGAAGCTCCAGATTCCAGGGTGAAAGACAGTGAAGCGTCCTCCGGAGCAGCACCTAGACTAGTACTTAAGCAAGTATCTACACCAGCAACTGGCACAGGATCAACACTAGCACCTAAGCTAAAAACACGCGAGAAAACTAAGGCAGAAGCACTAGAGTCAACAACAGCATACATAGCATGAGGAGTTCCTAAGAGATCAAGCCTAATCGAGAAGCAGACATGGCCACAGAGCGACACCGTTCGAGCAAACAAAAGGAAGCCAGTCAGGGGCAGGGCCGTCGACGCCGTACGCCGCGCGAAGAATGTCATCAAAGCACTAACCCAGTGGATGGCGACCGTCATAGCGGAGTCCACTGCAAGTACATGTCTGGACGAGATAGGAGCAGGGAGGGTGGGCGTCACCACGCGACAGCTGATATGGTCCTGACCCCTGCTGCTGCCCCTGCAGCTGCTGTGGCCACTGCGAGAGGAGTGGCTGCTGCTGCTGCTGCTGCTGAGTCAGGTACCAAGCCGCCACTCCAGCACCTGCAGCTGGCAGTCCCGCAGGTGCGCGACTAACCCGAGCGTCACCTCCACCAACTGTAGTAGGGGAGTCACAAGACGCTGCACCAAGCGCTCCATCAACTCCTGCACTCCCGCCACCGTCGCCCGCAACGCCACCTCCGCCGCCTCCGCTGCCGCCCGCACCCTATCCGCCCCTCCTGCCATTCCTAGCTCTAGACCGCGCAGAAGTCGTAACAGCAGCCGCGGTCACATCAGTAGCGGCAGTGGCGAGGGAGGCAGTAAAGGTGGGCAGCTGAGGGACAGTGCACCCGTGGAACAGTGGGGGGGGGGGGGGCACAGCGCCAAAGGCGGAGGCTACCGAACGGAGGTTGTTGTTGACGTCCTTGAGGGCAGACTCAAGGACGCCGATAGTGAGCTCGCTAGGGTGCTTCAAAAGAAGCGCGTCACGAACCAAGGCAAGGCGGTCAGGAAGACTAGTGGTGATGAAATAGACGGTAATCGCCATGGGGGAGGGAGGGAGGTGGAGACAGTGGAAGCTGTGCGTCAGTGCAGGCATCGCGGTAGCTAGAATCCAGTGAACGCAGGTGAGCGATCAAGTCAGCAGAGCGCTCAAACGAGGCGAGGTCAGGAAACAGGAAGGGGAAGAACAGGAAACCAAGAGAGAAGTCAGGAACTTACTAGCCGTGCGAACCTGGGTGAAGTGGATCTCCTCAGACTCACGGAGGAGGCTGCTGAAGGCGATGCAGGCCGCGGTGTCGCGCGACTTCCAGGCAGTGAGGGCAGCACCCTGTGTTAGAAAGTAATGTTTGTCTAGCCTGCAGTGGGGTGCTCTGTAGTGAGTACAACCCTGTTAGGGTTTGCTATATGTACTGCCCTGCTTACTAGTACAATCACCTTTCCTGTTTCTATCGTTTGCCTAGCTTTCTCGACATGCTATCAGAGCAGGTCGACCCTCCTGGGTCGATCCTGTGGGTGGTCCCACCTAATGCTTCCGCTGGTGTCCTGCCTATCACGCGCCCTGGGCGCGCGACGTGTTTTGCTTGCCGCGCACTCGGGTGCACGGCGTTGAGCGCGCGGCGGTTTTCTGCCCGCCGCGCGCCTCGGGCGCGCGGCGGTTTTCTTGCCCCGTTGATCCGCGCGTCGCCCCCCGTCGCTCGTCGCAGAGCCCCCGGGGACCCGCGCGTCGCCCCCCGTCGCCCGACGCGGCCCGCGCGACCTGCGCCAGGCCCGCGCGCGGCCCGTACGGGCTGCGCCAGGCCCGCGCGCGGCCCGTACAGCCCGCGCGCGGCCCGTACGGCCTGCGCCAGGCCCGCGCGCGGCCCGTACGGGCTGCGCCAGGCCCGCGAGCGGTTCGTCCGGGCTGCGCCAGGCCTGTGCGCGGCCCGTACCGTCTGCCCCAGTGCCGCACGCCGTCCCCCGAGCTTCTGACCGCGCCCCACCCCCGCTGTTGCACGCGCTCCTGTGTTAGGGTTTGGGGGTGGAGAGTATGGGGGTGCCGGGTGTGTGAGCCGTCCCCTGCTCCTCCTCCTCCTCCGTCTCCCACTACTGCAGCTGCCGCTGAGGGGGGTGGATGTGTTGGAGCCGTCAGAGTGGTACGAGGGGGGTGGCGTGTGAGCAGTGCTAGAGGTGCAGCAAGGGTTGTGTGAAAGGGGTGTGGGACAGCTGGGGGAAGTTGAGTGGAGGCAGTCGTCTTGTCGTCCGCAGCGCCTGAAGTCCAGAGAGCCACGACCCCCTGTGGCCGTGTAGTCCGGGGCTCTGCGCCCGGTAGCTACAGTGTGAGCACTCCTGGTAGTCCAGAGAGCCAGCTGCGCCTGTCGCCGTGTAGTCCGGGTTTAGCCTGGTAGCGACAGTGCTGCGCACTCCTGGGAGCACAGCGAGCCAGCTGCGCCTGTCGCCGTGTAGTCCGGGTTTAGCCTGGTAGCGACAGTGCTGCGCACTCCTGTTGCCCGTGTGTCTGCAGCTTCAGCCATCGTCTCGCATCTTCTCGCGCCCACAGTTTCTCCTCCTCCTCACTTGCTCTCTGTGATAGCCTCTAGCTTTGCTTATAATTGTGAACTATTGCTCTGTCTGCGTGTTGTGCTGATTATACCCCCCTTTGACTATGGGGGTGTGTTAGAATGTAATGTTTGTCTAGCCTGCAGTGGGGTACTCTATAGTGAGTACAACCCAGTTAGGGTTTGCTATATGTACTGCCCTGCTTACTAGTGCAATCACCTTTCCTGTTTCTATCGTTTGCCTAGCTTTCTAGACACCCTGACGTGCAAAACGATCTCTGTCCGCAGTTGTGGGGTCAGCGCCTAAGGGTTCAGGATTGGGGGGCGCACGAAGGTCATCGGAAGCGTACGCCCACATGGACTCGTCTGCCTAACCTGACTCTCGAGGAGACGCTGCGCACGCAGGAGCCAGACAGAGAACTCGAGCGGCCTACCCTCGGCGTCAAAGCGGAGGACTCTAGGCGTCGCCATAGCGGAAGCATGGAGAAACTACAGGTGAGAATCGCCTAGAAGGCCGGAGTAGGGCGCGGCAAGCAGGGTGCTACGTGGCAAGAAGGGAGGGACGAGGCGAAACGGGCACGGCGCGGCGGGAAAGGCAGGCGCCGCGCGACTGGACGCGCAGGCGCAACAAGCACGAGAGGAGGGGACCGTACGGGTCAGGACGGGACGGAACGGGCGCGACACGGCGGGCAGGCGCGACGCGACGGAACGGGACGGGCAGGCGCGACGCGATGGGACGGGATGGGTAGGCGCAACGCGACGGGACGGGACAGACGGCTACGACGCGACAGGCAGGCGCAAATGGCACGTATATGGTTACCCCATATGACACGCATCACTAAAGGCTACAACATTTGACATTAAATTACATATGTTTGTACGCTGTAGTAGGGTAGCTCATATGGGGTACAACTCGTTCTAGGGTTTCTACTTGTATCCCAACTGTTTCTTGTTCATCCATTCCTGATCGAGATTCTGACACGTTTTATGTTGCTGCTGAGTTTTTGCTTCACCTGTGATGACGTTAGCGAATAAGGATCTTACGGTACAGTAGCGAAATGGTATAATTTGTTCCTTCGATTTATTCCTTTAGAATTGTATATGTTAGGATGTACAGTTTTATTGTCTAGATTAGGGTTCTGTATTTGTACTCAACTCCCCTCTAGCAGTGCACAATTCCTCTAATTTGTAACTGCCTTCACGGTTGGATTTTTTAATCAAAAAGGAATACTTGGTATGAGGTGTGAACCCGTGGGTGGACGTCCGCACTGCCTGTAACGGGAGCCGACTTCAAAACAAGGAAGGGTTTTTAGTTATTGCGGAAGAGGTACTTCCGACCCTGCGCTTTCTAGGGAGCTTCATCTCTACCTGCACAGAGTTTCCCAGGTTTCGAGGCTCAGGCAAAAGACTTTTTGCGCTGAGACAGAACTCGTCTCCACATTCACCCGCGTGTCATCATCTTGTAAGCCCTTAGGCAGGCAAACGGTGCACAACATTTTCTTTTCTCTCTATCCGGACTAAACTAAATCCTCTCGGCTGGCAAGTGATAGAGAGCATCAACCCTAAACACTGCGACTAAGTGTTTAGGGTTGATGCCAAAACTGAATCCCTCTTGGTTGGCATGTAATTTAGGGGCATCAACCCTAAACACCTAATCGCGTGGAGTTTAGGGTTGATGCCCTCGAAAACTTGCCACCCGAGAGGGGTTAGTATTGTGCTTGCTGGCAGAAGACACCCGATGAAAACAGTGCTTGCGTGACGTGCGGAGAAGCCGAGTTCTGTGTTAGCACAATAACTCTTCCGCCTCAGAAGCGGATCAGCGGAAAGTGTGCGCAAGCTGAGATGAAAGTCCCTTGAAAGATGAACAGCTACGGTAAGCCTTCCGGAGAAACTAAGGGCGTGTAACTTTTTCAGTTTACGTCAAAAGTACGGTCGGAGCCCCCCAACCGTACGGACGGGGCCCCGTACGGACGTTTGGGAATGTGGTTCGGACGTGGAGCCGTCCGTACCACATTTGTGGAACTTTTTCTGTTTTCGAAATTTGAAGTACGTGCGACAAGTAACACACATTATTACGGTCGCCACCCCCTCGTCAAAGTCGTCCAACTCCCTCGTCAAAGTCGCCCAACTCCATCCGCGCCCAGACAAGGTGCCACGTCATATTGGGTTGGCAATCGGCGTGAGTGCACGCAATGTTTCCAGAGCGTGGGAAATCGAGCCGCACAGAAATCTGCGATTATGATTTCGCGCGCCAATGGGATGTCAGAACCGTAAGACAGTACGGACGGTTGTCCGGACAGTGTCAGAACGGTGGAACGGACGCTGGGGAGGCGTGAAAGTGATAGTTTTGGTCTGGACGTTGGCGACGTCGCACGGGATGTGGCGAAGTTAAAGACGAGCGTAAGCGAAATTAGTAACCCTTCAAATTCCGTACGGGTCATCCGTCCGTACTTCAAAAAGAGAAAGAGTTACACGCCCTAAAAACCCAACAAGGAATCCTCTGGCTGACGGAAGGGGAGCACGAGCCGCAGGAACCACCACCAGTCACATCACATCAACAGTCTGATGAGGAGGATAACGGCTGCGGTCGCAATGGTCCCTAGGCTGACGGGCTTCGGGCTGCCGCTGGGATCGCTGGCGATTGGCTTGGCGCGCGAGAGGCCGACTTTTGCGTCGCCCTGTCTGCCTGAGAACTCCCAAACGATTCCCGTCAATGGAGACGGTCGAATCGCGAGGACAATCCATCGAATTGGCATTCAGTTAGCAGTTAAATAGGCCCAGTATGGCTCTCATTTCGAAGACGGCCCAGTGTGGTAATTTCTTGGTGAGTGCCCGACCTGCTGCGAGTACAGCTCGCGCCACTCTCCCCCCTCGGTCCGAGTCGTTCGTCGCTGCTCCCCGTCCCCTGCGCCTTTCGCCTCATCCCGCGCCATGCCTCGCCTTCTCCCGCCGCCTCTCCGCCTCGTGCTGCTCCTCGCAGCAGTCGCCGCGTGCTTCGGCGCGTTGGTGACTGTATCGGGGGCGCCTCTAGCGGGGCCAGAGTGCGAGAGCGAGTTCCCGCGGCTGTGCAAGTTCGTGGACGATCTGCGCGACTCCATTCCCGAGCAGATCGACGCCTCCACGGGCGCGCCCATCCGCATCGGCGCCTACCAGATCCGCCAGGCCAGCTCCTCCCCTCCACCCTCTGCTCCCCTCCCGTACTTCCCCGCACTCGCTTCCCCTCATTGCCTCCCTCTTCTTGCGTCAGCCCAACCCCCCTTTCTTCCCCATACTCGCTTCCCCTGCGCCTCTTCCCTACTCGCCGTTTCCTGACGCCCCTCCCACACCCCCCCACACCCCACGCCACCCCGACCCCCCCCACCCCCCGGCACGGGCTGCAGAGGCTGCACCGCGATCTGCCGCCCACGAAGCTGTACGCGTATGGGCGCAGCGCCGCCACCGCGCACTACCCCGGCCCCACGCTCGTCGCCACGCGCGGCGTGCCCACCAAGGTACCGCCGCCGCCCACCCCGCCCGCCGCTGCTCGCGTGGCTCTGCACTGGTAGCTAGAGCTCGCTCGTATTTCTGCTGTGCCACTCGTGTTCTCAGCCGTATGCATGTGTGCGCTGACTGTGACGTGGCCCTTGCTGACTGTGACGTGGCCCTTGCTGACTGTGACGTGGCCCTTGCTAACTGTGACGTGGCTCTTGCTGACTGTGACGTGGCCCTTGCACTGGTGTGGGGGGGGGTGGGGACTCGGCAGGTGTATTGGGAGAACCATCTGACGGACCGCCAGCACATGTTCCCCGTCGACTACACCCTCAGCGATGTCGCCCGCCCGCTGCTCGGAGGCATCCCCATAGGTGAGCCGTGCTGCCTCGTCCATGCTCACTCGCCTCCCCTGAATCTGCTCTGCTTCTCTCATCACGCCCCTGTTCTTCTTTCGCCCTTCTTTTTCTCTATTCTCACGCACTTCCCCTCTCCTCCCCTGCCCTCCCCCCTGGCAGTGACGCACCGGCACGGGGGCGAGCAGGCATCGTTCTCGGACGGGCACCCCGAGGCGTGGTTCACGCAGAACAGCGAGGTGGGGCGCGCTGCACGCACGCGCCTGTACCGCTACCCCAACCACCAGCTGCCTACCACCCTCTGGTACCACGACCACGCCATCGGCATCACGCGCCTCAACGTGGCGGCGGGCCTCGCGGGGCTCTTCCTGCTCACCGACCCGCGCGGCGTGGAGAGGACCCTCAACGCGTGGCTGCCCCAGGGCGAGTTCGCCGTGCCGCTCGCCCTGGCGGACCGGCGGTTCTTCGCCAACGGCTCCATTGAGTACCCCAGCCAGGGCGTGCTGCCGCGCGTGCACCCCCACTGGGTGGCCGAGTACCTGGGGGACACCATCCTCGTCACCGGCAAGGTGCTGCCCGCCTCTGTCCCTCCCGCCCCTTTGCACTCCGCTGTCCCTACTGTCTTGCCTCATCTCCCAACTCTCCCCTTCTCCCCTTCGCTCTCCCCCCCCCCGGCCCGTGTGGCATGCGTGGCAGGTGTGGCCGTATCTGAACGTGAGGAGGGCGCTGTACCGCTTCCGAGTGCTGGGGGCGGCCAACACGCGCTTCTTCAATCTGCGCTTCATCTGCGCCACCTCCACCAACTACCCCGACTTCACTCCGCCTTTCACCGGCGACAAGCTGCCCATCATTGTCGTGCGTGTGCTTCTCCTTGCCCTCACACCCGCTTCCCCAGCTCCACTCTGCACCGCTCTGCACTGCACTGTACCAACCATCCTTCGTTGCATCGACCCTTCACCTCCCCATCCCCCCCCCTCCCTCTCCCCGCGCACCACCACGGGTCAGATCGGGTCGGACGGCGGGTACGTGCATGAGCCGGCGGTGCGCACATCACTGCTGGTGGCGCCGGGCGAGCGCTACGACGTCCTCGTCGACTTCTCCACCCTCGCCTCCTCCTGTGCTGACGTCATCCTCACCAACGACGCCCGTGCGCCGTACCCTGCGGGCGAGCCAGTGACCGACGACACGGCCGTGGTCATGCGCTTCATTGTCGACCACCAGTGCGCCCGCCTGCCCGCCCCGCCCATCCCCACCACCCTCCTCGTGAGTGCTTTTTGTGTCGTTCCTGTGGTTGCTGATGCAGGCTCGCGTACCCTGCCCTGCAACTCGTTCTCTCGCCGTCTCCCCCTCGCCCGCTCCGCTCTCTGTGCGTCCTCCAGGCGATCCCCCGCGTGGACACGTCCCGGGTGGTGCTGGAGCGGTGGATCACAGCCGTGGAAGAATCCGACCTCGCCACCGGGCTGCCCATCCGCCTCTTGCTGGGCGCCCGCCCCTACAGCGCCCCGCCCACTGAGACGCCCAGGAAGGTGAGCCGTGGGGTCATGCGTGTCATCGCCCAATGTTCTGCCAGCCTCGCAGCATTGAGCTCAAAGTGGTGGTTCTCCGTCACATGCGGCCTGGCTGGCATGTGTGTGCACCGTGGTGCGCAGAACTCGGAGGAGCTGTGGCATGTCATCAACCTCACGCCCGACGCGCACCCAATCCACCTGCACCTCATTCAGCACCGCCCCCTGTGGCGCCGCCCCTTTGACCTCGCCGCCTACAGCAGCGGCGCCTGCTCCTTCACCAACGCATCGCTGCCCTCGTGCTTCACTGGCGCGCAGCAGCCAGTGGCGGCGTATGAGCGCGGGTGGAAGGACACCACTATCCTGCCGCCCGGCACCGTGCTCACCCTCTGGACGCCCTGGTACTCCCAGGTCAGGCAGCCCACTCCGTTCTCTGTTTCTCTCTTAGTAGCTAGTGTTGCTGTCCTCTGGCCAGCTTGACTGCATGCTGTTGTGCACTGACCAACTGCTTGTCCTGGTGTGCATTTCATGCAGGTCGGCACACCATTCCCCTTTGACCCGACACGCGGCCCGGGGTATGTGTGGCACTGCCACATTCTGGAGCACGAGGACAACGAGATGATGCGTCCACTCATCATCACCAAGTGATGCGCCCCCTGCATGGCTCTTGTTACGGTACCAGGCCAATTTGATCTGATGGTCTGGTTTCCAGATTCAGACTTGCTTTTTTGTGTTCATCTGAAAGAACGGATAGACAGTGATTTTTATCCCATCTGGTCACTTGGACAAATGATATATGTTCGTCTGAATATCCAGACCAGGCACAATATTTCATCTGAATTTCCAGATACCTTGATCTCCCGGTTTGAAGACCCCCGGGTCTTCTCCTAAATGTGCTCAAAATGAGCTGTGGGGTCTTCTCTGATGGCATAGAGTGCATAAGACCCCTGGACATTTATATATCACGCAAAAATGGATTGTAAAGACCAGTTTTGAAGAATTTCAATTTTTTTTTTTTTTTTTGCGGATTCGAGTACGGCTCAAAACGGGGAAGCCTATCGTCACACTCGCTTCGCACACATCAATCCTTGCCACGCGTCAAACCTCCTGTAATGCCCAAATGTGACTGGTACGGCAGCATTTCTCGCATGACGGGCAGCAAAAGCGCATGATCGATGTGGCATCATGACTCCATTGACCACAAATTCGCCCCACAACGTGAATCTGGTGTTTACATCGTGACTCGCTAAGCAGCTCACCGTTTAAACACCACCAGTGCAGAAGAAGGGGGGGTCTTATAATGAGTGGGGTCAAAAGACGGGTCCTCTCCAGGAATGACATAATATGTCAGACTCCCAGCCACTAACCACTGGGATAAAAGGGCTTGTTTGTGTAGCGGGTGAGTGCGCCCATAACCCCCCAGGCCGCCGTGCCTGTAACCCTTCCCTAGGATCAATCGGGGATCACCAGTGGACCTCTGACACCCCCCCGCACTGGGATGCCCGAGGTGCACACACCGGGATTCGAACCCGAGACCTTTGCTCTGATACCATGTCAGAATCCCAGTCACTAACCACTGGGATAAAAGGGCTTGTTTGTGTAGCGGGTGAGTGCGCCCATAACCCCCCAGGCCAACATGCCTGTAACCCTTCCCTAGGATCAATCGGGGATCTCCAGTGGACCTCTGACATAATAAAAGACCCCTGGTCTGGATAGAAGACCCATGGGACTTGTATGCGGGGGGGTCTTAAAACCGGGAGCTCACGGTAACACGAGTTTCAATTCGTCTGATACCGGTACCGAAAAATCAGACCACTAGGCCATAGCACATCAGTTTCAGACCATTGGAGAGCCTGCAACCGCATGCGTGGCCAATTCGTCAGATTTCGGGGTCTGACGAAATCGGAGGGTTACCGTCATACCCCAGATATACCCCCATGGGGGGCAATAATAAAACAGGTTTTTTTAGGGGGGTGGGCTTATAATCGAGTAAATTTATAAGCGCCGGCGTTTATAAAACGACATATATATATTATACATTTTTTTAAACCAAGCTGTAGATCTCGTGCCTGCCTTTTTCAATCGAGTCGAAGTTACATGGGGTCGTCTTGTCAAACATTATATATGTTGCTGTTCTGTAGGCTACAGTGGGTTTAGCCTTACGGAGTGTTAGAATCTAGCAGCAGGAATGATGAACTAGCAGCATGCAGGAGTACAAGTAGTAAACCCTAATTGGGTTGTACCCCATTGTCAAACATATGCTACATATTGTCTAGGCTGTAGTGGGGTAGCCCATATGAGGTACAACCCAAATTAGGGTTTACTACTTGTACTCCTGCATGCTGCTAGTTCATCATTCCTGCTGCTAGATTCTAACATGGTTTCAGAGCACTAAGGTCCGTAGGACCGTTTTTTTTTTTTTTTTTGGGTTGCGAAGCAACCCTTTACGATCGATTTTGCCAAATTTTATTTTCATATTTATATTTTTTAAAATCATGGAAATAAAATATGTCAACTACAGTAATACCCTTCCCATACTGTATGCATGTTGAGCAGTTTTGAATACGGTCCTGTTTGTAGTTCATTAAACCATATGATTTGCTGTACAGTTTCCATTATGTGTTACTGTTAAATGATGTTGTGTAATGATAAGAGATGTGTCAAATGATATATATGTGTGATACATATTGGTAGGCTGTAGTGGGGTAGATGTTATAGGGGATAACCCCTTAGGGTTTTCCTACTTGTAAAATTTCTCTCGATAGTCAACTTCACCTTGCCTAGCTATCTCAACATGGCATCTAGAGCAATGGTCCTAAGGACCTAAGATTGGGGCCCACCTACTCATGAGTTACTTTCCCTACAGCTATACCTACGTGCCTACCTTGCCTGCTGCCCGCGCGCGCCTCGGCTGCATGCGCGCGTGCATTTTTTTTTAGCGCGCCCCGCTGCCTTAGCCGCCCGCGTGCTCGCTGCTGTCGCGCGCAGCTCGTCACCGCGCGCAGCCCGCCGCCACGCGCGACCCGCCGCCGCGTGCAGCCAGTAGCCACGCGCAGCCCGCAGCCACGCGCAGCCCGTCGCCGCGCGCAGCCCGCAGCCGCACGCAGCCCGTCGCCGCGCACAGCCAGCTGCCACGCACAGCCCGCAGCCGCGCGCAGCCCGCTGCCGCGCGCAGCCCGCAGCAGCGCGTGCCCTGCCCTGCCTGTGCGCCACTGCCTCGACCTGAGCGCTTAGCCGCCCGTGAGTCGTGCGCTTACCTGCCTTACGCGCGGCCTGTCACAGAACTGCGTGCTTCCTTACCTGCTACAGTTGCCTGCTGCCTGAGCCTGCTGCCTGAACCTGCAGTCTTTGCCTGCTGCCTGAGCCTGCTGCCTGAGCCTGCTGCCTGAGCCTGCTGCCTGAGCCTGCTGCCTGAGCCTGCTACCTGAGCCTGCTGCCTGAGCCTGCTGCCTGAGCCTGCTGCCTGAGCCTGCTACTTTTGCCTGCGCTACAACCATGGCGACCCTTACTGTTCTCGCCTTTGAGCCTGACGGCCGCCCCATCGAGTTTGACACCTGGCTTAGTGACCTGCGCCTTTACCTTATGACTGACGTCGCAGACGGAGTGTCCCTGCTAGCCTATGTGACCGGCACTGTCCCTACTCCTGCTGAGACTGCTCCTGCCCCTGAACGAGCACAGTGGGAGCTCCGCGATGCTGTCGCGCGCCTTGTTATTCGCAATCACCTACCGATCTCTGAGCGCGCGCATTTCAACCAGCTTAAGACTGCTAAGACGCTGTATGATGCTGTCGTTGCCCGCTATTCCGCCCCGACCACAGCCACCGTTGGTAGTCTCATCCTGCCTTACCTGTTCCCAGACTTAGCCTCGTTTCACACTGCTGCCGACCTTATCACTCACCTCCGCGCTAGTGACGCCCGCTTTCGAGCCGCTCTTACCAAAGAGTTCCTCGCCACGAACACCCCCCCGCTGTACTTCACCCTCTACATCCTCGTCACCCGCCTCCCTGACACTCTTCGCTCTGTCAGGGATTACTTCCTTGCCAAGGATCCTCCAACTATCACTCTGGACGACTTCGAGCAGCAGCTGGTCGCAGCAGAGAAGAACATCCTCGCTGTCGGTGCTGCTCGTGGCACTCCCCGCACTCCCCTCTTTGAGGGGTGCTCCCCCTCCCCTCTTGACCCCTCCTACGCCTCTGCTGCTACTGCTGTCGACTTCCTCGGTGCGGAGAAGGTCGCAGCGGCTTCCGCTCCTGGTGGGAAGCGTGGTGGTGGCAGGGGCGGCAAGGGTGGCAGGGGTGGCGGAGGTGGCGGTGGAGGGAGCGGTGGTGGAGGCGGCGGGGGTGGTGGAGGTGGTGGGGGTGGCCGTGGGGGTGGAGGCGGTGGGTGGGGTGGCGGCAGGACCGGGAGCGGTGGAGGCGGCGGCGGCGGTGGTGGGGGAGGAGGCAGCGGCAGTGGCGGTGGAGGTGGGAGTGGGGGTGGATCTGGCCAGAAGGGTGGCCAGCAGCAGCAGCAGCAGCAACAGCCACAGCAGCAGCAGCAGCTTCCTCCCCTCACCTCCCAGCAGCTCAATGACTGGTATGCTGGGCGTGGGGCGTCTCGGGGTTCTGACCGCTGCCCCTATGTCATTCGTACTGGCCCCCGCAAGGGTCGCCCCTGCAACGGTTTTCACACTGAGTATCGTTGTTTTGCTAGGCTTAGTGACGCCTGGCGTACTAAGTATCCTGATGCTACTGAGTTCCCCAACTGGGCAGAGCTGCTTAGGCGTGATGTGCCTATCTTTGATCTGGACTATGATGTTATTCTTGCTGCCATGTATGCATTGACTGTTAGTGCTGAGGGTGACTGCTACTTGTGTGTGCCGCCTGACCCCGGTATAAGGACTGCAGCCCTAGGTGCTAGTGAGTCTGCTCCCCTTGGTACTGAGTCGGCTCAGGCCTTGCACACGTTTACACTTGACTCTGGTGCTTCCCGCTGTTTCTTTCGTGATAGCACCACCGTCACTCCGCTCCCTGCACCTGTCCCTGTCTCCCTGGCTGACCCCTCTGGGGGCCCAGTGCTTGCACGCGGCACGACTGTGCTCCCGTGCCCGGCGGTCCCGTCTGGTGAGCTGTCAGGTCTCCTCGTTCCCTCGTTCTCTACGAACCTGGTGAGCAACGCCGTCCTCCAGGATCACTGGGTTGACACCTGGACTCCTGGAGGGCAGCGTGTGGCGATCTGTACGTGCTCCAAGACTGGCCGCCACCTGGCCACGTTCACTCGTGAGCCGGGGTCCAGTCTGTACACCCTCACCACTGTTTCACGCTCCGCTCCTTTGTCTCCACAGCTGTACGCGTCTGCTCAGGTAGCTACCCAGTGTGAGTGCCGCCGCCTGTCGCACGACACGCTCCTGTGGCACCACCGCCTTGGTCACCCCTCCCTGCCTCGCCTTCGTAGCATGCACTCTCGCTCTCTGGTCTCTGGGCTTCCCAGGTCTCTGCCTGCCCTCCCTCCCTCGCCTGCGCCGCCCTGCATTCCCTGCGTCGAGGGGCGGCAGCGCGCCGCTCCTCACTCCTCCTCGTTTCCTCCCACAGAGGCTCCCCTGCAGACGCTTCACCTGGACGTGTGGGGCCCAGCCCGCGTCCAGGGACAGGGCCGTGAGCGGTACTTTCTGCTGGTTGTCGACGACTTCACGCGTTACACCACGGTCTTCCCCTTGCGCAGCAAGGGAGACGTCCCTGCTGTTTTGATCCCCTGGATCCGCGCTGTGCGTCTCCAGCTCCGCGAGCGGTTCGAGCGGGACTTTCCTGTCCTGCGTCTGCACTCTGACAGAGGTGGTGAGTTCTCCTCTGACCTCTTGGCAGCCTTCTGTGCGGAGCACGGCATCACCCAGTCGTTCACGCTTCCGGCCTCTCCGCAGCAGAATGGGGTTGCTGAGCGCCGCATTGGCTTAGTCATGGAGGTCGCTCGTACCTCCATGATCCATGCGGCGGCTCCCCATTTTCTGTGGCCGTTCGCGGTCCGGTACGCCGCGCATCAGCTCAACCTCTGGCCCCGTGTCTCCTTGCCGGAGACCTCGCCCACGCTGCTGTGGACGGGGGAGGTTGGCGATGCGTCGCGTTTCCGGGTCTGGGGTGCTCGTGCCTTTGTCCGCGATCTCACCGCGGACAAGCTCTCTGCTCGCGCCATTCCCTGCGTCTTCCTTGGTTTTCCTCCTGACGCGCCTGGCTGGCAGTTTTACGACCCCACCTCGCGCCGTGTCTTTGCGTCTCAGGACGTCACCTTTGACGAGTCTGTTCCCTTCTACCGTCTCTTTCCCTACCGCACTGTCTCTCGCCCCCCCCCGCCGCTCTTTCTCGCTCCAGGTCCTCCCCAGGTAGACCCCCTCCCCGCGCCAGGTCCTGCTCCTTCAGGTGTTTCTCAGGTAGACCCTCCGGTACCTGCGCCTGTTGAGGTCACTGGTGACTCAGGTCCTGCTGGAGGTGGTCCTGCTCGGGGTGCTGTCTCTGGGGGTGCTGAGCCTGGGGGTGCGGAGCCTGAGCGAGAGGCGCCTAGAGGTGCTGAGCCTGGGGGTGCGGAGTCTGGGGATGCCGTGCCTGTGCGTGAGGAGCCTGGCGGTGCTGAGCTTGGGGGTGTCGAGTCTGAGGGTGCTGTGCCTGCGCGTGAGGAGCCTGGAGGTGCTGAGCTTGCGGGTGCCGAGTCTGCGGGTACTGAGCCTACGCGTGAGGAGCCTGGGGGTGCTGGCGCTGGAGGTTCTGGAGCAGCTGGGGGTGCTGGCGCTGAGGGTTCTGAGTCTGCTGTTGCGCGGTCTCCTTGGAGTAGCCGCCTTCGTCCACGTGTGCCTCTCACCCCACAGCAGCTCCAGGACTGGTACGGTCACCGTCAGCGTCGCGCTGCTGGAGCTAGGAGTGGTGCTGGACCTTTGTCTACTGGAGGTGCTGGAGTCGCTGGTTCTGGAGGTACTCGTACTGGAGACACTGAGGCTGGAGACCCTGGGACTGGAGGTGCTGGCTCTGGGGGTGCTGCTGCTGGTGACACTGAGGCTGGAGACCCTGGGACTGGGGGTGCTGGTTCTGGGGGTGCTACCTGCTTGCTTCTTCTCCTTACACTGAGCAGACTGGTAGTCCTGCTGAGCGTCGTGAGCCTGTGTCGCGTCCTGTCTCGCCTGCTCGTCCCGGTCGTCGTGTTCCTCGTTCGCGTCAGCAGGCTGTCCCCAGCACACACCTCGTAGTTCGTCGTCCTTCCTCTGCTCTGCAGCCTGTTCCTCTTCCGTCTCCCCCTGCGTCCTCTCTACCTGACGTTCCAGACCCTGAGTCTGACCGGTTTCGTGCTGAGCACCCTACTGTCACGCGTCTGCTAGCCACTGTTGTCACTGACCCGTCGTTTGAGTCTACTGCTGCGTCTGCTCTTGTCGCTGAGCTTGTTGACTTTGCTGCTGCCTGTCGTCTAGACTACGCCGCCGGTCTTGTTACTGAGTCTGCGTCTGTCTGTCCTCCGTCCGTCGGGGGTGAGTGTGCTCTTAGCACGGACGTCCTTGAGGACAGGCAGGAGGAGTTCCAGTGTCTTGCTGCTGCTTTACCTCATCTTGTGTCCTCGCTACTTGCCCCTGAGGGAGACCCGGATGCACCAGACATCCCGACTCCGCGCTCTTACGCAGAGGCGATAGAGAGTCCCTACTCCTCTCAGTGGCAGGCAGCCATGGACGCAGAGATGGCTTCCTGGAAGTCCACAGGCACCTATGTCGACGAGGTTCCCCCACCTGGGGCGAACATCGTCAGTGGCATGTGGATTTTCAGGGTGAAGCGGCCGCCGGGTTCTCCGCCTGTCTTCAAGGCGCGTTACGTGGCTCGAGGCTTCAGTCAGCGAGAGGGAGTTGACTTCTTCCAGACCTTCTCCCCCACCCCGAAGATGACCACTCTTCGGGTGCTGCTGCACGTTGCTGCTCACCGTGACTACGAGCTTCACTCTCTTGACTTCAGCACTGCTTTCTTACAGGGCAGCTTGCACGAGGAGATCTGGCTGCGCCGCCCCCCGGGCTTCACTGGGTCGTTCCCTCCTGGCACCCAGTGGAGCCTCCGACGGCCGGTCTACGGTCTCCGCCAGGCGCCACGTGAGTGGCACGACACACTGAGGACGACACTTGCGGCTCTTGGGTTTGCGCCTTCTACTGCTGACCCGTCGCTGTTTCTGCGCACAGACACTTCACTGCCGCCGTTCTACATCCTCGTGTACGTCGACGACTTGGTTTTTGCCACTGCTGACACTGAGGCTCTCGCCCACGTGAAGTCGGAGCTACAGAAGAGACACACGTGCACTGACTTGGGTGAGCTGCGCAGCTACCTTGGCTTGCAGATCACCCGGGACAGAGCACGCCGCACCATCACCTTGACTCAGTCACACATGGTGCAGCAGGTCCTTCAGCGCTTCGGCTTCACCTGGTCTTCAGCACAGGCCACTCCTCTGGCTACAGGTCACACGCTCTCAGCTCCACCTTCGGACGAGTCCGTAGAGCCGAGTGGTCCTTACCCAGAGCTAGTCGGCTGCCTCATGTACCTGATGACTTGCACTCGACCTGACCTCGCGTACCCTCTTGGTCTCCTCGCTCGCTACGTGGCTCCTGGTCGACACCGACCTGAGCACATGGCTGCTGCTAAGAGGGTACTGCGCTACTTGTGCAGCACATCAGGCATGGGGCTAGTGCTTGGAGGGACGAGCCCAGTTGTCCTCACTGGGCACTCAGACGCTTCTTGGGTTGACGACCTGGCTACTCAGCGGTCGTCACAGGGTTACACCTTCAGCCTTGGCTCTGGTTCAGTTTCGTGGCGTTCTACACGCTCGTCTTCAGTTCTTGGCTCCAGTTGTGAGGCTGAGATCTACGCCACCGCCATGGCTGCACAGGAGTTACGCTGGCTCACCTACCTGCTGACTGACTTGGGAGAGCAGCCTCGTTCTCCTCCAGTGCTGTACGTTGACAACAAGGCCGCCATTGCCTTGTGTGAGGAGCACAGACTGGAGCACAGAACGAAGCACATTGCTCTGCGTTACTTCCTGGCTCGAGAGTTGCAGCAGCGAGGCCAGCTTTGTCTTCGTTACGTGGCCACTCGGGCCAACACTGCTGATATATTCACCAAGGCACTTCCGTCTGGTGATCATCAGCGCTTTTGTACTCTGTTAGGCCTTGTGCCTATGCTTCCACACTTGCTGTAGTCTTTGCTTGTACTGTGATCTATATACATATATACCTGCATGCTGGCTCTTGCTAGGTAGCTCGACACTGTACTGTCATTGCTGCATATATATCTCTGCATGTGAACTGGCCTTGTGGCCATTTGCTTGTGCTCAGAATGTGTGGTGACGTAAACATCCACCCTGAGCTTGTTTTGTTTCTCTTGACTGGTCTTGTGACCCGTTGCTCTCCCCCACTTTGCCTATGGGGGTGTGTCAAATGATATATATGTGTGATACATATTGGTAGGCTGTAGTGGGGTAGATGTTATAGGGGATAACCCCTTAGGGTTTTCCTACTTGTAAAATTTCTCTCGATAGTCAACTTCACCTTGCCTAGCTATCTCAACAAGATGCATACGTAATGCATAAATGATGCTATACAATGCATAATGCATAGAATGATGCTATATAATGCATGTGATATGTCATGAATGATGCACATGCTATCAACAGGACTAAGCAAGAATGATTGAAAGGAGAGGGGTTTCACTAGCAGCAGTTGGGGTACATATAGCAAACCCTAACTGGGTTGTACTCGCTATAGAGCACCCCACTAC